AATCTTCAAGGCACAGCCGGGACACGAGGGCGGGTGTGAGGGTGCGAGGTAATACCACTCCGGTCCCCAGCACAAGCTCACCTTCTGGCGCAGGGAGTCCACAAACCACTCATCCCCCAGGAAGTTGCAGGCCATGTCCACGTCGCCGTTGTACAGCAAGATGCGGTATTTCTGCAACCGAAGCAGCTGGAATGAGGCGGGGGGGGAGAGGCAGGAGGGGAGGCCCGCCCGGTCCCAGATGGCCCACCCACACCGGCCCGAGTGCTGCCCCCTCTGCCGAGAGGCTCACCGCGGTGCTGAGCAGCTTCAGGTACTGGTCGTTCATCTTCTGATACAGGCGCTTGTAACCTCGGCTGACCGCAAAGCTACCGGGAAGGAAAAGAGGCAAACGGTGTGACCGCCAGGCCCCTCGGGGTGCCGGGACCAGAAGGGCCTCCCTCCCTCCCGACTCTCACCTGCACATTTCCCACTCGGGGGCATCGTCCACGATGTGCAGGGCCTTGCGCACCTGGGGCGCATTCATGTAGGCAGAAGGAGCGCTGGTGTTGGTGCAGGGAGGGTCCAGGCGCACCCGCTGCTTGCCGGCTTGCAACCTGAGCAAGTTCTGGGAAAGGAAAAGTCAGGCGCCACTCGTCCCCTTCCCTTAAAACATGCCCCTTATTCTGCTGCTGCTGCTGCTGCAAAGAAACCTTACAGCTTTTTCAGGTTCCCAGGTTTGACTTTGTGACCTTTACTTAGCAAGCTGTGAAACTGCTGCTAAGATGAAAATGTGTTTCATAAAATGAAATGCAGGGCCAGAAAGGCACAAGGACAACTGGCATGCCTAACCCACCCTTCATGCTTCCTTCCCCACGACCACGGGCCGGTCCAGCAGAGAGCCGGAGCACGCTTGTGCAGAAAAGGAGCAGGCAGAGCGAGGGGGAAAGGCTCAGACAAGCCCACAAGGCCAGTTCACCCCACTGGCCGCTCAAGTTTCAGATCTCCAGAGTTTTCAGGCACCCCAGAGAGACGAGGGCGACACATAGAGGGGGGTGTGAGCTCTCCAGGGGGAAGGAGCTCCAGAGCAATCCAGATGCTTCTCTGGGGCCTTCTGGGTCTGCTGAAGAGTAAAGGTCCTGGGTCTGCCCGGCCCCACCCCATTTGCCCAGACCTCTGATGGTGGGGCGGGGGGTTAAGGGTGGGGAGGGCTGCCATGCCACTGCTCAGAAAGTGGGGAACGAATGGGCCACCCTCCAGGGAGAGCCTCTCACCTGCCTCCAGGTGAAACGAAACGGCTGCCGGAGGAAGTTGTTGCCGAGGTCTTGCGTGACGAGGACCCCGTCGTGGTACCTAGAGGACAGACAACGCCCCCACTGGGTACAGGGCCAGCTGCTGCGGCTACTACTGCCAATTGCCCCCGTCCCAATCCTCTGCCCAAGAGGAAAAGGAGCTTGGCTGCCAGGGGACGCTGGCCGAGGAGCTCCCTCTCAGCGCCCCCCCCCCACTCAGGCAGCAGGCAGCCAGGTGTACCTGTAGCTCCCAGGCACTCCCCCTGCACATGGGGCGTACAGGTTGTAGATGTTGAGGCCAGACTCGTCCACGATGCGGATCAGTTCTGCCATCTGCAACGAGCCACAAGAGAGGATGCTTGGAGCCCGTCTTGACCCAAACCCAGCCCCACCCCAAATCCTTCAGGCGTGGGAGGGCTCCGGAGAGGGGCCCCGGAGTCCTGCCCCAGGCGGGCCCTCCCCTCCACTCACAGCAAGCGTGCAGTTCAGGTTAGGGTTGTCGTGGAAGTTGCATTTCCCGTCGGAGCAGCAGGCGGTCTGCAAATCTGTCCACAGCCTGCAGTGGGAAGACCAGGGCCAGCCTCGGGTCAGGCTCCGCTTGGCCTGGCCAGTCCCCTCCCTCCCTCCCTCCTTCAAGGGGCCTGCCACAGGGGCTCCAGCCCACAGCCCCCTCAGCTGGGAAGGCAACCCTGGCAGTCGCTCACCTGCTCCCCAGGAGGCCGTGGTAATAGGCAAAGTACACCAGGGAGTTGTCGTTGGTCTCGTAGCAGGACAGACCGTTGCCCACCGCGATCCCCTGGAACGCAGAGCACACAGGCAGGCGCATCACCGTTTGCACAAGTGGGTGGTGGTGGCAACGAGGGCCTCCCCAGGGCATCTTCAGCCGAACTCTGTCCTCCCTGCCCCAGCCTCGGATGCCTCAAGGTGGAAGCGGAAGGAGCCATCGGACGAGTAGAATGCCTGTCTAAGTCGAGGGGTGCTCCAGCAAGGCAGTATCGGGGGGGGGGCTCTGCCTCCAGATGCCCCCATGCGTGCGTGCATGCGTGTTGGGGGCCAGGCTCAGTGTGATGAGCAGCAGCCTTCTTTGAGAAGTGGGCGAATAGGTGGCTCCAGTGCCACGGCCGACTTGCCTAGGTAGCCCCCTGGCCCGCCTGTCCGAGAGGGAGGCGGCCGCCTGCATCTCCCTCCCGCCCCCAAGAGGGGAGCCTACCTTCAGGTTGAGGCTAGGGTCCTGCATGACCCACTGTGCCAGGGTGGGGATGTAGATGCCCCCATAGCTCTCCCCAGTGAGGTAGAGGTCTTTGCTGCAGTGCTCAGGGTAGAGCCGGAGAAACTCCTTCAGGGCCAGGTAGTTCACGCGAGCCACCTGCCGAGAGAGAGAGAGAGAGAGAGAGAAGGGTGGGCAACCATGGCAGGAGAGGGGTCCCTCGGAACCACTCTCTCCCTCCCACCCACCTATCCACCCGGCCATCGCGCATGCACGCGTGCGCACATACCTCTGTGTCGTTTGTCCGGTAGTCCTGGCTGTCCGAGTGGGAATAGCCGACCCCCACAGGGGACTCGAGGTACAGCATGTGCCCCAGCTGCAGGAAAAGCATGGGTTCAGGTCCAGGGCCAGCCCTCGCCCCGCTCTGCACCCCCCCCGGGAAGCAGGATCCCTCTCCTGGGGTCCCTCCAATGTCTCCCAGGGGGGCAGACGGAGGGAGGGAGGGAGGGGCCCCCTCACCTTATTCCAGGCATACTCATTGTACTCCAGGGAGGCCCCATCCGGCTGGACCTGCAGGAGGAGGAGGAGGAGGAGGAGAGGCAGCCGTGAGTGCGCGATGATGGGCTTCCGGTGCCCCAGTTCCTACCCGCCCCGCCAGCGTGAGTCATCCCGCCCCCACCAGTTTCTGATCAGACTCCAGCTCGGGCCGTTTCCTCATCCCCACCGAGAGGAACGAGCCGGGCCCGGTTCGCTGTGATGCTCTTCCACACAAGCCTCTTCCACGGCAGCTCCCACCTGACATGGAGGGGGGCATGGCGCGGGGGGGGGACACCCTCACCTAGGCCAGTTAAGCCTTCAAGACCCTGGCCCTGACGACGACGGGCCTCTCCCTGGAACCAGCAGGACCAGCTCTTTCGGCACCCTCAGAAAGCAGGCCCCTCCCTGCTCGACCCCCCACCCCGCTTACAAGGAGCCATCCTCTAGACGGGTGTAGTTGACGGAAGGACAAAGGACAACTGAGCAGAGGTGAGGTCTCGGACCACAACTCCCAGCGTTCCTTAGCTGCCTAGGTTCAGGGTTCGAATCCTCTGCTCAGAAGTTCACCGGGGGAGCGGAATTGGTAAAAGCACTCCTTAAACATCTCAAAACATTGCAATGACCTTGAAAGCCTTGGCAGGGCTGCTCTCGCCAGTTCTGACCTGACAGCTCGTCCGAACGACCAACCAGGGGGTCCTATAGACTTCGCTTGCTAAGATTCCCATTCCTGGTATCTCACCTTGGGGGAGGTCTGAGTTCTAATCCTGCCTGGCCTGCCAAGGTTGCAGGTGTCCTTGGGCCTGGGACTCTCTCTTGAGCCTCACCTGCCTGACAGGATGGTTGGATGTCTACAGTGGGAGAGGGCAAGCCCCCCCTGCACTGCCATGACCCCCCCACACCCGGAAGGGGGAAGGAAAGAACCGCAAGAGGGGGGTCTTTGGGTGTGTGTGTGGGGGGGGAATACAGAACTCTGGCTTTTGCTCAGTGGAGCTAGGAGAGAGGGAGGGAAGGGAGGGTCGGTCAAGGATGGCCACTGACCGTGAAGGGTCCGTGCTCGGTGAGGAGGCCGGTGACGGAGCTGCAGCCGGGCCCCCCGTTGAGCCAGAGGATCAGGGGCTTCTCGGAGGGGTTGGCCCCCTGGGCCTCCACGAACCTGCAGGGGAGGAGGAGGAGGAGGAGGAAGAGGAGGGTGGACAGGGAGAAGAA